GAGTAATTAATATCTATCCTGTGTAGATAGCCTTTTGAACAACCTCAATTTAGAATAATACAATTGACTTTCACCAGACTGATAATTCCTGGTTCACACAGCAAGGTTTTAAAACTGTCCGTTTATTTTTAAAGACTGAGAAACTCCCAAACAAGACAATAAAACATCAGAACTTTAACAGGTTTAATCCTACAGAGTGTGATGTACAGCCACACGACAAAGACACATGAAAATTCAGATATCAGACAGGATATCTCACAAGATCTCTCGTGATCAAACGTAAGGTCAGAGTAAATAAACATGACATGATAGATGAAGAAGAAGTGACAACAATCATTTGTGGACTATTTAAAAAAGACATCTCTGACAATCCAGCATGTTGAATATTCACAATTTGAGACTAGAGAGGTCCCAACGTCCTTCCGAGCCAACTAGATCAATCTTAGCACACCACACACCGCAGGAATATCTCATAAGATTGTCTTTGTAGCTATGATGATAATTGGGATGTCCTTAAGATTGTCAGACGGGCAAAATTGGGCCAAAAATCGGCACAATTATCTTCACCAGGTAGTCCAAATGAGCCATTAATTCATCAACTACAACAAAAACCAATCCTGGAACTGTGTGCATGTCTCTTTGAGGTAATAGCCCCCTAAGTTTGCAGGGACAACATTAAAACATTAAACAAGTACAAATCAAACATCACAGACAGAGCTAATGCTGTTTTCAGGCTGCATGTTGTGACAGACATACTTTAAACAGAAAGGTGTCCCTTTTCTCTGTAAGCCCTTTTCAAGTGTTGCTTCTGGACTTCAAGCAAAGAAGCACACTAAAGTGTTTGCATTTTGCTGCACCTCCAGTTCAAAAACAGGTATGTTGGCATGGCAACGTGTGCCAGCACAGGATTGCACTCAGTTCAGCTGGAGAGGTTGGTCATCACCAGCGACACTTTCCTTCCTTTAAACTGACGAGAGTCTTCTGAGTCAAAGATCTGTGTCGTATCAGGCAGTTTTAATAAATGTCAGTTCATAAGTGAAGCGTTTTAACTTTGAACTTATTTCTCGATTAACAGCTCTTCCTTTTTCTCAGTGGGTAAAACTTTCAATTAAGATGCAACCACACGCAAACACACACACACACACACACAGACACACACATCATCTAAGAAACGAATCCCAAGTCGTTCCTACTTCCCTGGGCAACATCTTCAAAGTGATGTTAAATTTGTGCGCTATTTAGGTACATTAAACTTTTTCAGTTTCTGCATCGCTTATAGTGTTTTGTTCTATAGCCGGTGGCAAGGCCTCTCCTGCTCCGCTTGTGCTGCTAGGGCCCCTTTTTTCAAATTAAAAAGAAGAGCGGGAAAAAAACACTGTTAAGCAAAGTCATTGATTTAAGTTCATTAAATTTCCTGTTAACAAGCCCATAATGAAGCATCGTATTGCAGGCTAATGCAGTCTGGATTCCATCTAGAGCACCAGCTAATGGTGCTGTGTGACTTTGTCAAGCAATCAATAATTTGGTGTCTGTGTGAACTTTGCTGCCTCACACAGTGAGGCGTGACGCAGTGCCACATAGATGGAGAGACACTTTTTTTTTCTTGGTACACTCTGTCTGTGCTCAGTCCCTCAGTGGAGGCTGAACAACATGCAAGATTGTCTTGACATTTGCTTGAACCGCCCCTTATCCTTAAGAGTGTCGCAGTTTAGTGCATAAGAACACATGCCACATCAAACTTGTGTAGACTCCAGTACACCCCTGGTTAAATGGAATTTGAAAATCGCTTTATACGTATTCAGTGATGTTTGTGATTAATGCGTGGCGATACATATGAAAAGATTATCCCTTGGGAGAAAACAGAGCTGTTGAAAGGCGGAGCCTGTAATAAACAAGATGTACCATGGATGATCTTGTTAGGCTTAAAGCTTGTTTTAAGAAAAACACATGGCGTGCCGATTTATTTCCCCTCAAACCGCAGCATCGTGTTTCCTTGGTATCCATCCCCTTTGCAATCTGACAGGCAGGTGTTACAAGCTTTCTGACAGCCTAGCCGAACTCACAAAGGTGCAATCAATACTAAACTGCTGCAAGAGAAGCGGTGACCGATCCACAAGTCCCTTGCTGAGCCAGCAAACTGTTGCAAAGAGGAGAAAAGTGTGTCTGCTGTGAACAAACACGTCCCACTCACGCCTGCACACAAGACTCAGAGCTTTAACAGGCTCGGACACTTCCCACTCTCTGATCCACGAACACCTGCAGACTCACGCGGGCACGGGCTGACGAAAACACGCGCATCCAAACACGCCCCGGAGAAAGCTACAGTAAATGAACCTCGCAGGCGTCCAAAACCGCTGACATCAATCAGGCACACTTCACCGTTCGGCTCCCGACGGACGCTGAGTTGCATCTGTCTGCCGCAAACGAGCGCTAAACAATTCCAAAGTGATGGAAACCATTTTATGCATATGCGCCTGCAGCGTGCCAAACTCGTTGGCCCTTTTCCCGTTCCTCCCGACTTGTGATGTGTGCGAAACAGGACACGGTTCGCTCCTTTTCTGAGCGAGCCTGTTTTAGAGATGTGGGATTACCTGTGCGCATGAAACAGTTATCACACAGGTAAAGCTGAGCACCAACACCTCCATATGGTCCACCTGGGAGCTTGTGAATGCTGGCCAATACTTTTTCACAAAGCCCTGGGGCTTTTCTTCCCTCAGCAATGACTGAAAGGGCCCAGGTGCACAAAGGATCTCCGAAACCCATACATATATCCAAACATACATGCTTACATGCAGCACTTTGTACAACTTTTTTTTAACTTATTTTATATTTGTAGGAGTATGATGCACAACACAACCCTAAAACTGTTTCAGCTTTTTTTTTATTTAACCTTTATTTCAACATGCAGGCAAAACATTACGAACAGTTTCTTATTGACAATTTGGCCTTTAACCACTTAAAACACTTAAAAATGGGAAGATGGGGAAGAGGAAACAACATAAACAGCACATAAAAGCTATGAAGAACAGATGAAGTCACGAAAGCAGCAGAATAAACCGAAGATATGAGGACAGCCCTAGAAACATGTCTGATTGAACTCATTTACAGCAGGAATGGAGAGCAAGCTGTTCACTAAAAATACAACACGTTCCAAAACGTTTATGCTCTAAAACAACTGATTTACGTGTCGAACAAGCCAAACATTCTGTTCACTGCATCACTGTCTGAATGCATTTGGATCTGTTTATGTGATGGAAGTATAACTTAGCCAAGTCATATTTATTCTGCAGCTAAGTTTGACACGCTATATAAAAACTGATTAGAGCACATGTGTCAAACACAAGGCCGACTCCCGTGTGGCCCGCCAGGGGGGTGGTCTCCCACAAAAATAAAAAATAAAAAATAAAAAAATCATTTTTTTTTTCATTTAACATGAAATTTGTTTCTTATATCAATGGTAAACTTTAAATTTATGGTTAAATGCAACAAAATTAATTTAATAAAAATAAATGAAATAAAAATAAATAAAAAAAATTCCTGTCCCTGAGCTGTTGGCTTGAAGTAACTGAGCAGTTTAGTTGGATAGCTCAGTACTAATGTCTGAAAATAAGCTGCATTAAAGTCACCATCAATCATAAACTAAATCTGCCATAATGCAGCTACTCACTTTATTGTTTTACTTTTAATACTATTTCTGTATTTATTTCAGATTTAGTCAGTCATACACTTGGTTCAGTGTTTAAAAGAGGACATGTTAAAACTCTGTTTAGTCAAAGTTAAACATGAAACATCAAAGTTCATTACAACTGGCCCTTCGAGGGCCACCATAACGCTCATGTGGCCCTTGGTGAAAATGAGTTTGACACCCCTGGATTAGAGGGAAAAAGGTGGAGAAAAGACATTTGGAGATTCCATCCAGGCTGTGTCTTTTTGCACAGACACTGTATGCAACTCAGTGCAGAAAGAAATCCTCGAAATTCTGAATGAAACAGACCCTTTAGTTTTAAAGAATGCAATATCACATTGATCAGAAGAGGTAAAAGATAAAAAAAAGGTAGTTTATGACTACAGGCTAATAAAAACCTGAGAACTGTTTGTGCAAGCTGGTTATAGTTTACACTAATATCAATGTGTCAGCACAACTGTAAAGCATCAAAGTAATACGAGCCCGATTAGTTAGCAAGGACTTTTACATGGGCCGACAAGCTGCAGCAAATGAAAGATTGTCATAATCTTTCAGCGTGATGGCAGGCTGCAGGATTGCATGTGACAATCGCACTCTGTGCGGCTCTGACTGAACAGAGCCGGTTTTCAATGGCTGCCACATTCCTCAAAATGTCAAAATCAAAGTATCAAAGCAGACAGATGAGTTTGTGTGTTTGCCTTGCCCGGGGGGACAGGGAAGGATGCGTGTCTGGCCAGGCGCCTGCAGCTCAAGGAACTGAGCTGCTGTAATACAGTGAGACTGTGGGCTTAAGAGGGTACAAATCTCAGCCTTATCCTCAAAAGCACAGAGTGGCTGTCCTGTTTAACCTGACAGAGACAAGCCGCAGTCCCAGAGAGCTCTGCCACTCCTACCCCAGAGTTTAAACCCTCTGAGTGCGCAGCTGATGCAGAGTGTATGGACCCCAGAGATAAGGAGCGGTTTCACCGAACCGTGACCTCGGTTCAGTTCAAAACAACAAAAAAAATTATTATTACAAAGCTTTCAGTCCCAGTATATATAAAAAGCTCACACTTTTATGTAACATAAACAAAAACACAAGTATTCCCCAGTGCTATATTAACATTAGTGGGTGTTTTCCCAGTTTTTCCCTACTGTGACTTCTAAGAAATATCTATCTTGCAGTCCATCTACTCTAATTTAATCCACTTATTGTAACTCAAAGGTGCATTTTAGTAAAAAAAAAAATCATCACCAATAAAAAACAAGCTCAGTTTTTTTGAACATACAAAGTAATGGATGGCGTTAAAGTCTGATTGCACAACTGGATTCTTACCGTAAACTCCTTGGCCGCAGGCAAGTTGATGGACACTGGAAAAAAAGAAAATCCAGAAAAACTCCATGTTCAGCTCAGTTCCCTCATAACCTGCAAACAGAGAAGAGGGAGGATGGGAGGGTGGCGTCTGGACATGTGAACCAGGAGAAAACCTCTGAAGGGTTAGGATGTTAAAAAAGCACAAGAGTTACTTCTTCTTCTTTTTTCCTTTTTTATACCCAACAATTTTTCCTCATCCAACTGTGAGAATAATGCTAAGGAACAATCCAGCCTCCACCGCTGCAACGCCTCCAACATTTCCTCATTTCAGTTTCACAGGGCGGGTAATTCAATCACAACACCGTGGATTATACAAAGCTTACAAGCCAGGTTGTGTGTTAGAGAATTGGAGATTGACAGGATTGGAGAGGGCTGCTGTTTAGCCTGACAATAAATAAATAAATAAATAAATGCCTGTCCCCTTCCTGGCTGAGCCACATGGGTGGGCAGGTGTGTAGGACAGGGAGGGGGCGGGGTGGACAACTATAGGGATTAAACTGCAGCATTCACTTCGGATTAAATACAAATGGGGGTCGTCCTGGACTTTACAGACCCCAAGCTCTCTAAAACTAAAATGCTCCATCAGATTATTGTTCAGTTTGCCATCTGAAGCAGGAGTTCAGTATAAAAGACAGAAATACTTTGAAAAATACATCTCATTTGATCACCTTTAAATAATATTGTTTTCAAAGACTTTTTATGCGATTTAGGGAGAAAAAAGTGATAATGACGTGTGGAGGGTTTCCACACTTTTTGTAAATAGCTGAAACACATGTTGTGTGTGTGTGTGGGGGGGGTGTCTGTGCGCGCGCGTGTCATGAGTCAATCGGCCGCATTGACAAGCTGCGTGATAAAGCGCGCTGCGATTAAAGTTTCATCATGACGCACGAGAATTAATGAGAGCTGCTGACATTTACGTCCCCATATTATTGATGGAAATAAAAAAAAGGCAGAAAAGAAAAAAACGAGCTATAATGTCGCTCTTAACCGAATAGTCGGTGCTGTTAATTGGGGAGATTAAGTTTGGGATTGTTGGGGATCTTGCTTTTACGCGCGAGCACATATGTGTTCACTTTTTTTTTATTTTCTTTATTTTTTTATCTTTCTTATCTTTCAGGGAAAAAAAGGACACAATCTGGGTGAATCATATGGATGAATCTTATAGACAGAAACCCAGTGGGTCGGGTCTACCTGGTCTCTGAAGGCGCTGCGCTCGCTCTCCGCTCAGCCACGAGAATTCCTCCGCTCCGGGCGCATCCACACAAACACCAGTTGAAAACTTTATCCTCTTCCTGTCAGCGTTAAAAAAAGAGAAGAAAAAAATCCCTGGGAGTAGATGTGATATGGAGTTCCAAGACCTTGGGAAGAATTTCCTTTAAAACTTTTTTTTTTATGTTTAGTTTTAGTTTTATAAATAAATGTGAAGCGCAGAGAGCGGAACCTCAACGGTGCTCGATTCCTCTGAGTCCCTTCTCACAAACGTGGAGGTGGGGGTGAAAAAAATACACTTCACCCCTTTTGAAAAACTCAAGCAAGTGTGTCTGAGAGAAAAGAAAAAAAATCCTAACCTCTCATCCTTTTTTTATTCTTTCCCCTCTTTTTTTCTTTTCTTTTTGGCTTGTGGCTTTATTTCGTGTAAGTGTCTTCACTGGCTCTCCCTCTTCGCATCCGGCCGAGGGGACAGTGTGGTGTCTGGATGATGCGCTCCTCCTCCCGCCTCCCCGCCGCTGCTTCAATCAGCGCTGTGTCCGTGGAGTCCGAGAGATGCTGGCCAAGTGGAATGTGCGCAGACTGAGAACGACCGCCCCTGTCTGCGTGCGAGCGCGCGAGAGCGAGAGAGAGAGCGAGAGAGAGAGAGAGAGAGAGAGAGAGAGAGAGAGAGAGAGAGAGAGAGAGAGAGAGA